TGTGTGTGTGTGTGTGTGTGCATGTGCGGGGGTGTTTATATGTGGGGATGGGAGGGGTGGGTTTTCAATATTTGTAGTATTTTTTGGTGTATGTTTTTATTTTGTGAAGCACTTTGTGTTGCATTTTAATGTATGAAAAGTGCTATATAAATAAAGTTTGATTTGATTTGATTTGAAGATGTTCTTGAGACAGCCCTTTGACAAAAATGAGAAAGATGCAAGGCCACAGTGACCTTGAACATTGACCACTAAAATCTAATCAGTTCATCCTTAAGTCTAGGTGGAAGTTTGTGCCAAATTTGAAGAAATTTCCTCAGGGCATTCTTGGAATATTGCGTTCAAGAGAATGGGATGGACGGACAGATGGACAACCCGCAACTTCATGCCTCTGGCCATGGCTACAGCTGGCAAGAAGGCATAAAAATATACCAATTGTTTAAGATGTTAGTAGAGGTGATCTTGTTTGTTTGGTCAAGATGAAGCTGTTGATCATGCGCTTTTGCAAGATCCACAGCTAAAGGACTTGAAGGATAAAAGAAAAATATAGGCACATGCCTTCTGTATTTGTCATCAATACAAACAAGAATGATGTGTGATGAAAAAATGCAACAAGAACAGGTGGTCCCTGTTAAATTGCAGAGGATTGAGACTTGTCTCGATGGGGGTCTCTTAAAATTATCACAAAGCAATTGGTTGATAAAGGACATTTTGGGTCAAACACTTGTCTTACCTTAAGACCCTGAAGACACTTGACATTCCTGTATTTGCATTTTTTTCCCGGTGCTCTTCTCACTGGTTCAGCGTAGGCCAGGCTTAAATGTAAAACTTTGATACAACCTACATCTAAGCACCAACAAGGATTATCAGCATTTGAATGTTTAGTAATGCCTAAAGATGATTTTTTTTGTCATGAATATTAAATGTCACAGAAAATACTTCAGATTTGAAAAAAAAATGTTTTCAGGGGCTTTATGTGCCAGTCTGTGCATTCTGCAGAGAGACTAAGTTAGCTTAGCACAAAGACCAGAATCACATCCAACAGCTATCTTCCATCGTAGGGAAAGAAAATGTCTCCAATGTGTCCTGTTGGCAAGTAATTTAGACAACATATCTATTTTTTTTTTTTTTCACTTTTGACAGAGCTGAGGCCTATACTACGAAGCCAGTTCAATTTACCCAGGATATCTTTTTGTTATCTGGTTTGACTACCCCTAACACTGGCTGGATAACCGGTACTACAAAGCTGGTTATCAACCAGTTCAGTCAACTCTGGGTTTTCCTGTTCAGCCACAAGTATGTTCATGTGAAGGAGGCAGGGGTGTTAGTTATGAGCAACATCATCAGAACCATGAATGAAGTAGGTTGCTTCATATCATATGAGATGAAACGGTACCGCAAGGACTGTGAGACAGTAAAATGTCAATGACGCCAGATGTAAACAATACTAACTACAGAAAACATTAAAAATACTATTCAAAAACTCACCGTCGGCAAGACTTAAATTACGTGTAGATATCACTGGACTATATGAGACATTTGCATGGACTATTTTTTCGTTGTTTTGTTGGATGATGTCACATAAACACTTTAAAGTGATGTCAGACTGTTTCTGCTACTGAAGTAAAAGGTGGAAAAGTAGTTAATGACTGATGATCTATTTGACCGAAATGTGGCATTTATAATAACAGGAGCTGATTAACAGTGTGTGGATTATTTAACTAATAAATATCATCCGTTTTATCTTAGTTCTCATCATACAGGTGCCTCATGTTATTTTGAGCTGCTGTGTAAAAAGCAAAAACAAAAGCATCACTATCACTGCAGACTTAAGTAAACTTTGCATAAGTGAAAATACTGCGAAAAAATCCTGTGTTTAGTGTTGTAAATAATCTCTCCGTTTGTTAGAAGCTCTGTTTTTAAACCAGTGGAAATAGGGCCCTGGAACAATGAAATTATTCTACTGACCTGTAACAGCATATAGGCTACTCTTTTTTTATCTGAGACTCCCAACCATCATCCTTGGATACTTTTTCTTCAGTGATCTGATTGGTCAGAGGTTGGGTGTTGACAGCCTGTGATCTGATACTATGACATTAACCTGCTCTGGAGCAGGTTAGCTGTTGTTGTCAGTTACCATAGTGTTTTATCCCTGTAAAAAGAGAACCAGCTTTGTAGTACTGAAAACCCTGACTTAACCCCGAAGTTACCTCGCTAACTTCAAATCCTGTATCACAGTATAGGCCTCTGAGCTAGCTTCTAATATTTGTGCTAAGATAGGCTAAACACAAGGTGCAAAATTGTGTATGTAGGTGAAGAAAAAAAAAACAAACAAAAAAATAACACCGCATGTATCAGTATACAGGAGGTGCCTCTAAATAGATTGCGTAGCCACTGAGCATGTCTGAGACAGCAGACACAGCACCACTCTGATAGCTGGATAGGCAGTTGAACTTTCCATCAAAAGTCATATACATTAGTCAATGAAGTACAGGCAAATCTTAATCCAGAATAAATAGGTTAACTAATGATGTAAAAATGCAATCATAACCTTAAAGATATCAGTAAAATCCTTTCTCTTAACAGGTTTGAGTCCTTTAATACTTGTGGCTCACAACTTTCCCCTCATAAAATCTTTATCTTAAAGCCTTTGGAAACACAGCTTGAAATGGTAAAAATGCATATATTATATCAAAGTCGAGTGTCTCATAAATCATCCACTCCCTCGTTTTGATTGACATCTCCCTGGCTCAGCAATGGCTGCCACAAATTTAATCCAGCTGTACATGTTTGAGCCAAAGAGCGTGGATACCAAGAGGCGAAGCTCCGTTGAATTTTTGCCAACAGCCACTAGGGGCGCTGCGGTAGCGCAACATTCAAGATGTCAAGGAGAGAGAATGAAAAAAGTAAAAGAAAACAGTGTAGTGCAATTAATTGCAATAACTATCAGTGGAACACCCCGCACCTGGCCTTCCACCGTTTCCCGAAGGATCCCGACAGGTAAGAACTCCTGAGGTGTAAGTTTTAAATTGTTTTAATATCAATTTAATATGCCAGTTTTGGGGGGAAGATAACACTTGCAAAACTGATGAAGCTATCAGAACTGATTACTGTTTTAGCATTAAAATATATCACATTAAAATAGCCTATATAGTATTATTATTATTATTATTATTACTAATACTACTACTGTCCCCTTACTGTACAAACTGTAAATAAATCTTTATTCCTGACTATGTGACGTCGCCATTTATGTATTTCTAGTTAAAATATTGATTTTTTTTTTTATTTTTATTTTTTGGTAGATTGGCTTATGGGGTGATTTTGAAGGAGTAATTAAGTTAATCTTCTCATAAGTGGATATAATATGTAGAGATGCCATCTAGGCCATTTTTCTTCGTTTTGTTTTTTTTTAAAGTCTATATTTTGCTTTACAAAAATGTGAAAAAGCAGCTGTGACCAAGCTATCACGAGGTGAGTAGCATTGTAAGCATAATTAATAGCAATATACTTCAGTTTGTCTGTGTGTTTTTGTATGCAAGCGGGTCTGCTGCGGTCTGCTTACAGTCCAAAATGGCGGCGGTAGGATTGAGCTTCGCCTCTTGGTATCCATACTCTTTGTTTGAGCCCTCTGATGATTCAGAGGACGAAGCAGAAGCCCTGCCAGCTGAAAATGATTCCTTTCAGGTGGTCACTGAATGGTAAGTTTCAAAATGTTTTGTGATTCATATTAATGTTACTTAGTAGAATAGTTAGCATAACTTTTACATGCAATGTTAGCTGAGATGAATGACAACGGGAGGCTAGCGCTTTGCCTTTCTTCATTGAGATACATTTTCATTGAAAACATAAATCTGCTCCGTTTTTCTTATAATAGCCATTTTCATCCAAACACATCCAGTCTTAATAGATTAAATATGTCTTTACTCTGACACACACCGACCCTCAAAGCGGGAGAGACCGGTGCCGGCTAAAATTGTGTTGTTTCCCACAGCATCACCTCCGCGATTGGGGATATGTTTATGCATAGCAAAGCTAACTACTTGGGGTTGGGGTTAGGAGTGAGGAAGGGTGCACATTACGTCCCCTCCCCGCAAGCCGACACCGGCACCGGGCCTGGTGGGGAAGCCCGGCCACTCACAAGCCGCCTCTTCCTGCAGCTCCATGAGATGCAAAGGCTCGGACTGTCCGGGCTCTGGAGCCGGTCAATCTGATTCGAGTGCTGCTGGGAGCCCGCCGGAGGCAGAGCCTCCGCTGGGTCGCAGCCGAGCGGTTCAGCCAGTTTACGATCTGTATTTTCTAAACATCAGACAAGAAAGAGGAGTTGGCTCAGACTCAAAGAGGCAGATTTAGCTGAAGCAGAAAGGTTTTGTTGCGCTGCCACTGGGGGGCAGGATGAGACAACTGACGGATGATTTATGATTGGTTTGTAATTTATTGCATAATAAATCTCAGAGATAGAGAATGTACAAAAACTTATAAGACAGATATTTCGAATTTGGATAGAAACTGATTTCTAATTGTTTTTACATGTTTAATATTATGTACATAAGACCCTAAATTACATAGTTAGAAGGCTATTGTGGATTTGGGTTTCCAGAGGCTTTAAAAATAAAAGATGACAGAATTAGTTGCAAAATTTTTGTCCCATTATACAAAAAGAAATTCCACACCACATAAAAAATAGTTCTGTAACTTCACAGTTTTGGTGTGCTGATCAGTGTCCATCCATACTTCGGTCTCTTCCCTGCTGAAGTTACTTAGCAGCTGTTTATTCTGTATGTCCTGACTAATCCTTCGCTACCTCTACATGCACACACTAACCTTGTTACCTCAAGTTTCAATTGCATCTCTCTCAATCACCTGAAACAACCCAGGAGTTTGTGTAATACATCAAAGCAGGTCCACACAACAGCCTGACAGCAGAGATTCTTACTGTGATGAACATTTGGACTCAACTAAACAGCAGTAAGACCACTTGATGAAGACCAAGATGGCGGAGATGTTGTGTGACCTTTTTTTATTTTTTGACATCAAATGTTTCAAGGGTGTTAACTTTTCTGATCACAAGAGAAATGACCTTGATTAGGCGGACATGTCGAGATAGCCTTAGTCCTGCTCATAGTGGAAGCTGGTTCTTGGACTGCACCTGCAGCTCTGTACTTGGATATGGGATAGGCTGAGGAGAGCTGCTGCTTCTCTTTGTCTCTGTCGCCAAGACCTCAGTCCTCTCATCCACCCTCCTCTCGTCCTCCTTCCTCTTGTCCTCAGCTTTCTGTTTCTCTGCCTTGGTCTTGAACCTCAGCCCATGGCCTGTCACCCAAAGACAGGATTATTTTCATTACGTCTGATAATGTTTTCTCTAACAGTGGTTGATGAAAACTGACTGATTATCATGTTCTATGATTTTTTAGATATTCATGCAAAATGTGTGCAGTATTATGTTAGAAAAATGACTTACGATTATGACTTTCCCTTGATAACCCCCTTAGTATCAGATATATTGGTGATAAAATAATCAGCACAGACTGTTATCTGTGCATGTACCTACTTGGACAGTCTGCCACCTCCTTGTAGGCCTTCTTCTTGCAGCAGCCTCGACACAGGTTGAAGACACATTTATTTCCCTGCAGAGCAAAAGAAACCATATCAGCTGCTGGGGCTGAATCGGGATTGTCTTTTTTGATTCCTTGAAAGAAGCACATGCAGAAAGAAAAGACATCCTTATACAGTGGTGGAAAAAAGTTTTCGGACACCCTTAAAATTTTACACAATCTCAAATATTATCGTGAAATATTTGTGGAAAAATCTTTTTTGTGTTTCAAAAGGTGTGGCTGCATTAGACAGATACAAACATACAAATTATATTTTTTTGTTTATTGTTTACAAGAAAAACTAACAAAACTAAATTCTTGACAGTTTCAATATGTCAGTTCTCAACATTGTCGGTATCAAAGTCAACAAATAACAGAGAATGTGTTCAAAACTGAACAAAAAAATAAATAAACCATCACATCATCAAATTAATTTTTCAGTAGTCCTGCCATTGGCACATAGTAGAGCTCTAATCCTGGCTGGCATGTTCCCCACGAGCCTTTCACACTGTTGAGGGGTAATCTTGTCCCATTCTTCTTGAATTACTGCTTTTAATTCTTCTAAATTCTTTGGTTTATGCTTTGAAACAGACCTTTTGATAATCCACCACAGATTTTCAATGGGGCTCATGTCCGGGGATTGAGCTGGCCACTCTAAGACCTGGATACTGTGCTCCTGCAGCCAAGTTCTACTGGCCTTGGATGTGTGGCAAGGGGCATTATCTTGTTGAAACATCCAGTTTTTACCTCGACGGAACAGTGCACGCGCAGAAGGGAGCATGTGGGTTTCGAGAATGGTACAATACTTGGTAGAGTTCAATGTGCCATCACAGACAGTGAGATGACCAACACCAGCAGCACTCATGCATCCCCAAACCATGATACTGCCTCCACCATGCTTGACAGTAGGTACTGTACATGCTGGAGATAATGCTTCGCCTGGCCTTCTGCGTACCCTCACATTAGTAGGAGGAAGATAAAGCTGGAAACTGGACTCATCTGACCACAAAATCTTCTTCCAATTCCTGGCTGTCCAGTTCTTGTGTGCCTGGGCCCAACGACGCCGGGCTAACCTCTGTCTCTCATTGATCAGGGGCTTCTTGATAGCCTTGTAGGACCTTAAGCCATGATCTAAAAGTCGGCCACGTACAGTGCGGGTGGAACACTGGACACCAGTTTGGTTTGACCACTGCTGCTGAAGCTCCTGTGATGTCATTCGGCGGTTTTGCCTGCACATGCGGATCAGGATGCGGTCATTTCTTGCTGAAGAAACCCTTGGACGCCCAGATCTTGGTTTGTCTTCCAAGCTGTTGGTTCGTCTGTATTTCTGCAGAGTGTATCCAACTGCTGAAGGACTGCATCTGCACTTCCTGGCTATCTGGCGGCAGCTGTACCCTTCCTGGCTGAGAATCTTTATCTTCAGGCGTGTTTCCTGCGTTAGGTTCCTTGTTTTAGCCATTTTTGTGTCTGAAGAACTTTCAAATGTGCTGGCTTTATGTAGACACGAAGCTTGGCAACAAAAATTGTGTCTTTTAATAAAAAGAACGACCTTCATCACTGGTACCAAAATGACCCAATACTCAAAATTTCTTATGTATTTTTATGGAACCAATCAATTTTAAGTTTTTAATGGCTTTTTTAGGATTTATTTAGTATTTTGGCTGTGACTGTACTAAAAGAAATTGCACTTGAAGACCTAAGAGTGATTCTTAATGTAATATTTCACAAATGCATGGGGTGTCCGAAAACTTTTTTCCACCACTGTAGATACCTATAACTGTATGTCAGTTGGTATTGTTTTAACTAGGGCTGACAGCATTAATTCGATGCGATTAAGGTCTGCAATTAAGGTTGTTTCTTTTTAAAATCAGTGCTGCTAGTTTTGTCTCTTCAATGCACCCTTACTTGTAGTCAAGCCGCCACAGCTGCTTCCTGCTGTCACAGTGATGGAAAAGAATGGCCCTTTTTACTTTGAAAATCTCCCAATTGGCTCAGTTGACTAGTCAAAAGTAATCTGCACCTTGTGTCAAATGGAATTAAAATATCACCGAAACACTTCAAGTTTGGGCTACCACCTACAAGCTGAGCACACAGGTGGAGCTAATCAGACTGATGTCAGTGGGCAAATGCATTACCAGTAATGCACTACTTTGGAGTGACCGAATTGTTAACTAGCGACTGACAGCAGACCTGCATTTTAAGTTCTTTGTGCGATATAGCTTGGCTTCATGCAATAGAAAAAAACCCCTGCTAGCTGCTAGGCTAATTTATGCAATGTAAAATGTCATAGGTTTATGAGGACGACATGTCTAGTGTAAGACAATTTTTAAGAAACTTTTGAGTTGGAACTGAACCATAATTTGTAACATCACCTTTGTTAAATGTTGTTGTTCCTGGCTTCATATGAGCAGAGGAAGGCCTCAGCTAGCCACTTGGCTAATTTATACAATGTAAAATGCCATAAGCTTGTGCTAATAATGTTAGCATGTTCTATTTGTGGGGAAAATGTGTCCAGCAAAAGACAAGTTTTTTGTGGAGGAACCTTGCAAGTTATAATGAAGCCAATTTGTGTACTTTGTTTGAAATGGTCACAATTAAGCCATGTTTAATGCGTGTTTTAAGTGTGATTTGTATCAGTCAAAATACAGCACTTTACCATTACAGCACAGAAAGCCCACTAGCACACTAGAACACTAGGACTACTAATGTTTTGGAGGTATAACTGCAAAGCACAGACATACCACCACGCGAGTATATTATGTGTTAAGGGGATGTGCTCCCCCCGTGCATTCCCTATCTAGTTTCAAACTTCCGTCTGTTGCTGTAATATCTGGTCTGATTCATAAATCCAAATCATCTACCTGCCTGTTAGACCCTCTTCCGACTAACCTAGTTAAACTCTGTCTTCCTTCCCTTTCATTCCTTGTTCATTCCTCCCTTCCCTCTGGGCTTGTGCCCACATCTCTCAAAACTGTTGCTATAACTCCAGTACTAAAGAAACCTGGTGCAGATCCTAACAATTTGAGCGACTAATGTCCAATTTCAAATTTACCATTCCTCTCTAAAATACTTGAAAGATCAGTTGCAGCTCAGGTCCACACTCACCTTAGCCATAACAATCTGTTTGAACAATTTCAGTCTGGTTTTTGCTCCTGCCACAGCACTCAGACAGCTCTGGTCAAAATCACTAATGATCTCCTAATAGCAGCTGACTCTGGGCTTTTAACTATTCTCATTCTTCTGGATCTAAGTGCAGCTTTCGATACCATTTCACATAACATCTGCCTAGAAAGATTAGCTACCACTGGCACTGGTCTAAATTGGTTTAAGTCATACCTCTCCCGCCGCACTCATTTTGTTCAAATCAGCAAATTCAGATCCAACTCTTTCCCAGTTACTAGTGGTGTTCCTCAGGGCTCTGTCCCCTTCTATTCATCATTTACCTTCTACCTATTGGCCATACCTTTAGAAAATTTGGTATTCAATTCCACTGTTGTGCCGATACCACCCAGCTCTACCTGTCCATTAGGCCTACTTCCACTCTCCCCTTTCTGACTGCTTACTGGATATTAAATCTTGGCTTTCATGCAACTTCCTCAAACTCAACAGTGATAAAACTGAGGGTCTCCTTGTGGGTACCAAATCTACTCTGGCTAAACCGCAGTTTCACTCTAACCATTGATAACTACAAAGTCCATCCGTCCCCTCAGGTTAAGAGTCTGGGTGTCATCCTTGACAGTACAATGTCCTTTGAGGCCAACATCAATAATGTCACTCAGTCTACATACTTTCACCTAAGAAACATTGACCGTCTTCACAATCACTTACACCTCACAGCACAGCCATCCTCGTTTATTCTTTGGGTACATCCCGTATTGATTACTGCAATTCTGTCCTCTTTGGTCTTCTTCTCAAGTGTCTTCATAAACTTAAGTTGGTCCAGAATTCAGCCGCCCCTATCATAATCAGAACCCTCTCGGTGGATGCTGTGGTCCAGCAACTTCACTGCCTTCCTGTTAAATATCGCATAAATTTCAAGATTCTGCTTCTCACCTTCAAGGCCCTTCACAGTCAAGCCTCTTCATACCAGGGGCTAGACTTAAGACTGTACTGGGGCACAGCTGGGGCACAGAGAATGTATGGCGCGCGAGCAAAAAATGTTTTAGCACTCATTTATAATAAAAAAGCTTAAATAGTGCTTTAAATATACAATCAGATCAGATTATGTTGTTGACTGGATCTTTGATTAACCACCTGAATGAACTGATGCATTTGGCCTACTTGTGCACTTGCAAAATCAAATTTGGGGCGACAAAACCAGATATTTTTAGCCATTTTTCTGGTGACAAAACCGGATATTTTTAGCCATTTTTCTGGTGACAAAACAATATAAGAACCATGATGGTGGGACATTCTGTCACTTCACAGTTGTCCAAAACATGTGGTTTGTGCCAGACGGACATGATTGCCAGTATTTTTTCATTATTGCAAGAAATTCCATTGACTCATTCACAAGTCAAAAATGTGTTTTATCTGAAAGAAACATGCAATATTTACATCTAAGATTATAGAAAAATAGTCAATCAAGTGCAATGATGTCCTCCAAGATAATATTTGTTTTTCAGTTTCAGTTATATAGTGGGGGGACATTTTGAGCATTGGGGGGGACACATGTCCCCGTCAATGTATATGGTGACTACTGCCCTGTCAGGAATGCATAATTAGGCTACAGTTGTCTGGTTGCGCAAAGGTGAAGTGGCTAGTTTTGTCATACAAAGTTTGATGGAGTGTCAACTGGACAATATGGAGATATTTGCATCTTGAAACCTGGACTACAAATTTGGATAGACAGGGAGAAACACACGCAAGCCTAAGACNGGATAGACAGGGAGAAACACACGCAAGCCTAAGACATGGTAAGATACGATATTCCTCACTATATGAAGTGACTGATAACAAGATCTGTATCATGGATTGTAAAGAAATTCGTCAGGTTTTTGTTTTGTAGACAATTAATCTGGATTTATAGCGTGATGGGATGACAGCACAATGATGTGGCACCAATGTGTGGTATCACTGGAAAGCTCTGCTCCTGCACTTTCATGTGATATGTGTGGCATTTCTGTGCGAGCCTGCATTCACGAGTAATCCAAGAGTAATGTGTGTGCAAAGCTGTATGAAAGCTCTGTTATACAACATTTTAGTGTAAATTTATCCTTTTTTTTCGCTGTAAAAACATTGGACTACCGACAAGTGCTTGGTCTTGTCAGAAAGCTACAATTCTGCTGTTTTGCGTGATATATAGGCTTCTCGCTATGACGCACGGTCGCGAAGAAAATCCATAGAGAAGAACGGGTGTGAATTTGGACGCACTATGTGTTGTTCGGGCCCGTAGCCATGCGCGCACTGTGTACGAGGAGTGAATGGAGTAGCACTTGAATGAATTACCATATTAAGTAGCCATGTCCGCACCGTGTATGCTATGTGGAGTTAAAAGTCCGAAGTGAATTTTTTACTGGTGAAATTTTTACTGGGGCACTGCAGATCAATACAGGGGCACGTGCCCCAGTAAAATCTGTCTGGCGACGCCGATGCTTCATACCTCCCTGAACTCCTCCATATCTACACACCCTTCTGTACTCTTAGATCCTCTTCTGCACTCACATCATCTGCCTGCTTGACTACTATGGGTTCTAGAGCCTTCAGCCATTCTGCCCCCCACCCCTGGAACTCTCTCCCCTCTGACATTCGCAATATTCCCTTTCCACTTTCAGATCCCATCTGAAAACACACCTATTCAAGCTGGCATACTCTGATTTAATAGAGACACACATATTGATGATGCTATTATTATGATTACTTTATACCTAGTGTTTACAATTACGATTTTGTCTAGTCATTTTATTAACTTTTATTGTAGATTACTGAATTGTTTGATTTTATGATCTATGGATACATTGCTACTTGTGGGTTTTTTTTTACTGTCTTGTAAGGTGACCTTGAGTGTCCGGAAAGGCGCCTATAAATAAAATGCATCATTATTATTATTATTATTATTATTATTATTATTATTATTACTACTACTACAACATCCTCAGGTTGGCATGTTGTGACCTGTCATAAAGGTTACCATTGCTGGAAACAGTAGTTTCACACATACAGGACCTGTATAAATGAAAGGAAGCAACTAAACTGGAACTCCTGAAAAGTGCAAATACTGTCACATAAACCAGGAATCACTGGAAGTCAGTGAATAATCAAGAAATATCAGATTTAAATGCACTTTATCAACAGTAACAGTGTAACCCTTTGAAAAAAAAAACACACTGTATTTTACAGAATAAGCACACACTAAGTTGTCTCCTACATCTAAATCATGATATCAGACCACAATGTTGTAGCAGTGCAGCACTGATTTGAAAGACATACATCTGAAAGTCAAAATCATAGAGTAAATTTCTTTGCATTCACTTGATTACCAATCAAAACACTCTGGTAAGAATTGCTTTACCTCAAAGTTTTGAAATGCAAAATAATGGAATTTTAAACGTGTCTAAAAATGTGATTAACCATGATGAACTACTTAAATTACTAAGTTAATCTTTACAACTTGTTTTTTCATTAACACTGCACAGCCATTTCCTTGAATGAGCGGAAATCTGTGATACCTGCGATGAAAAGTGACTGATACATATAAGTACACCAGCTGCTGACCTTTGGGTTCCCACACTGCTCACATTTGATGTACTTGGCTGTGGGAGGAGAGAAGAGACACTTAAACACTGGACTTGTTTCAAAGAGGCAGTTAGCAGTTTGAGATGAAGGTGGCGGGTTAGACTGACGTTTCTGCTCGGGACAGAAGTTCTTGTTGGGGTTTCGTGATCTCTTCTTCTGCTTATTTTTGGAGAGTGTGTCAGCTGTTCCATCAGTGTCCTCCAGTGCTCTCTTCTGACAAACAGTCTTCCTCACCTCTGAGCCCTGGCTGTTACCATTTGCAACTGGCTCCTTCGGCCTATAAGACATAATCAGTAAGATCACTATGTCCCTGTTGACTGGTGCTCAGGATTATTTGCTGGTGTCAGTCAGAGCTCAGCTCTGGAGTATTTGCCATTTGAAAATGTTTACCAAATACCGTCTCTCATGCCTTATTTTTCCTGTCTGCTGTGATACTCAGCCAAAGCTCACTATCCACACTTGTAAAAGACTTTTCAGTGGAGCTGACGTCGACTCTACGGTGTATGGTAATTGTATGACAAGTTTACTTAGAGAAAAATTCAACCAACAAAGGGTGGTAACTCACGCTGGTCTGACATATGGCTGGCAGATCCAGTGGGGAAACGGCAGGCCACCCTCTGTCTCTTCCCTATCCTGTCCTTTGGCTATCTCCTCCTGTGTGCGTTACACAGTATCAAACAACGGCAGCATCATTTCATTACAGTGTGTGATTTCAGACAGCATACCAGCATCATGAAAGCAAAAAAGGTGTGAAATGTGACATAACAGCACTGGCTTCTAGTGTGACACATATCATAGGCGTCAGCAGCACTTTCTAAACAATTACAATGTCGTTAACATGACAATAACAATCATTTACCGTTCCTGTTATATACAGTATCTCACATAAGTGAGTACACTCCTCCCATTTTTGCAAATATTTCACTATATCTTGTCATGGGACACTATAGAAATGACACTTTGATATAACTTAAAGTAGTCAGTGTACAGCTTGTATAGTAGTATAGATCTACCTTCCTCTGAAAATTACTCAAACCACAGCCATCAACATCTAAACAGCTGGCAACATAAGTGAGTACACCCCACAGGGAACATGTCCAAATTGTGTCTAAAGTGTCAATATTTTGTGTGCCAACCATTATTATTATCTAGCACTGCCTTAACCCTTTTGGGCATGGAATTCACCAGAGCTCACAGGTTGCTTCAGGAATCCTCTCCCACTCCTCCATGATGACATCATGGAGCAGATGGATGTGAAGACACCTTGTGCTCCTCCACCTTCAGCTTGAGGATGCCCCACAGGTGCACAGGTGAGTTTAGGGCTGGATACATACTTGGCCAGTCCATCACCTTTACCTTCAGCTTCCTCAGCAAGGCAGTTGTCATCTTCTAGGTGTGTTTTGGGTCATTATCATGTTGGAAAACTGCATTGCGGCTCAGTTTCTGAAGAGGGGCAATCATGCTCTGCTTGGAATTCATGTTTCCCTAAATGAACCGAGCTCCCCAGAGCCAGCAGCACTCATGCAGCCCCAAACCATGATGTTGCCACCACTATACTTGACTGTAGGTAAGGGACAGTTGTCATGGTGCTCTTCACCAAGGTGCCACACATTCTGAAAGAGCACCAAGACAACTGTCCCTTGCCTACAGTCAAGTATAGTGGTGGCAGCAGCACTCATGCAGCTCCAAACCATGATGCTGCCAGCTTAAGCTGGTGGCTGACACTAGCCAGACCCTCAAGGGTCTTCACCTTGTCCAAGTCTTCTATCAGGTCCTGGTGGATCTGTAGCCTACACACACACACACACGGAAGGTGTGAGCGAGAGAGAGACACAGACAGGTGGAGACAGATCAACATTTCCTGCTACAATGTAGCACATATGAAGACATCAGAACAAATGTTGTAAAACGAGGGAGCGAGTCCGCCAGAGTTGGCAAAAGTGTGTGAGAGGGGGAAAGTCCAGATTAAGTCCAGAGTGAGTTGTTAGTTAACTGCGAGGATCACGTCACCTACACTCATCAGTAGGCTCGTTTGAGATGAACTGTGCCTCGCCTGGAAAGTGGACGAGAGCAGGTAGCTGCAGCAGGAGGTGGTGACAACAAGTTGCAGTGAAGTCGGAGGTTGAATCCAAATATTCACCCTCTGCACTTGCAAAGTCTGCCAAGGCAGAGACTTCAAGCGGCTAATAGCCCTCCAGACCGTTTTACTCGCTACTGTAGAAAAGTTCAACTAATGCTGCTGTCATATTCACATATGTCATATAAGTTGATGAACAGTGCCTACCAGGGCAGGAATTTCACGAGGGCCACGAGGGCCATGGCAGTGCCCTCCTAATTTGGCTCTGTGCCCTTGAAAAAAATATCTGCCCTAAGGCCACAGCGGCCTTGATGCCCCGCCCGCACCGCTCCAGGTGATTTTGCGGTTTTCTCCTCTGCCTCTTTCCTGTCAACACAGCTTTGACACATGCGTCTATTGAGGAAAAAACTGCGATGACATTCTGGATTCTTATTGGGTAACATCAAATGAGACGATGCGTACATCACCAGTGGTGGGTTTGATTCGAGCCTGGCATGAACCTGCTCTCTGCTTGTCAGGGCTGACCTCCTTCTCACAGCGCACGCACACACACACACACAAACACAGACACGCACACACACGGAAGGTGTGAGAGAGAGACAGAGACACCAAGACAACTGTCCCTTGCTTACAGTCAAGTATAGTGGTGTCAGCATCATGGTTTGGGGCTGTATGAGTGCTGCTGCCACCACTATACTTGACTGTAGGCAAGGGACAGTTGTCTTGGTGCTCTTTCAGCATGTGTGGCACCTTGGTGAAGAGCACCATGACAACTGTCCCTTACCTACAGTCAAGTATAGTGGTGGCAGCATCATGGTTTGGGGCTGCATGAGTGCTGCCGGCTCTGGGGAGCTCAGTTCATTTATGGAAACATGAATTCCAAACAGAGCATGATCGCTCCTCTTCGGAAACTGAGCCGCAATGCAGTTTTCCAACATGATAATGACCCAAAACACACCTAGTAGATGACAACTGCCTTGCTGAGGAAGCTGAAGGTGAAGGTGATGGACTGGCCAAGTATGTATCCAGCCCTAAACTCACCTGTGCACCTGTGGGCCATCCTCAAGCTGAAGGTGGAGGAGCACAAGGTGTCTTCACATCCATCTGCTCCATGATGTCATCATGGAGGAGTGGGAGAGGATTCCTGAAGCAACCTGTGAGCTCTGGTGAATTCCATGCCCAAAAGGGTTAAGGCAGTGCTAGATAATAATGGTTGGCACACAAAATATTGACACTTTAGGCACAATTTGGACATGTTCACTGTGGGGTGTACTCACTTATGTTGCCAGCTGTTTAGATGTTGATGGCTGTGTTTTGAGTAATTTTCAGAGGAAGGTAAATCTAT